CAGTATGTTGGGGGAACAGTTATCATCAGTGGTATGCTCGGGGATCAGTAATCGTCGGCGGTATATTCGGAGATCAGTAATCGTCGGTGGTATGTTCGGGGATCAGTAATCATCGGTGGTATGCTCGGGATCAGTTATCGTCAGTAGTATGTCCGGGGATCAGTAATCATCGGTGGTATGCTCGGGATCAGTTATCATCAGTAGTATGTCCGGGGATCAGTAATCATCGGTGGTATGCTCGGTATCAGTTATCGTCGGTAGTATGTTCGGGGATCAGTAATTGACTGCAGGACACCTGACCACCTCCAATTGCGTGGTCATCAGCACGTAGCCGCCGGTAATTCACCCGGTAGGTTCGCTGCCGGCGGGCCGCCATCTCGTTGCGACAAAGCGACGCAGTCTCCGGGCCCAACCTCGTCCAAGATCGAGGCGAACTGTCTCTCTGTACTTAGCGCTGGTGGTTATCAGCATCCCACGCTTTCCAGGCAAGCTCTGTCTGAAGCGAAGTGCTGGGCCAAGGTTAGAGACTACCAGCATGACCCCGCCGGTACACTGTCGCCACACTGGCCTGCGGGTCAATATCGACTGCAGAACATATTCGAGTCATTTCTTGATACCGAACTACCATTCGAGGGAGACAATTCAGCTTCGAGCTCACCAGAGTGTGGGTATCGCTGTGGCGGTCACGTGGCGGACATCAGGGAGAACCTGCCAAGTGACGCTCGAGCCTGGAGCGGCTTGCCCTGCGGGCTCGAGAGCGCAAGGCTGCGGGTACCGAGCGCCGAGCGCGCCGGTCATCCGGCTGTCGGATCTCAGGCAACGGAGAACAGCCCTCTCCTGCGCTCTGCACAAACGGACTAAGCCTGCCGCTGGTCCTACTGTCTCGTTTCTGCTGGCCTGCCACTGAGTCCGGGTTGTTGTTTTCCCTGGCCTGCCGCTGGCCATGTGTTCTTGGGCATACTGATCGTGCTGTACTGTGTCTTGTTAGCACAGCGGCGTAGCGTTTGCCAGTCGCGCAATATTTGTCTGCTGCTGCTGTAGTGCCTCTGTAGTGTCGTTTCTGTCGGTCATTTGCCTATCCCGAGGAGCTGTGTTCCATTGTCCTGCCGTGCTGCGTCGGCTGATCTGCCTCTGACCGCGCGGCACTGTGCCTGCTGTCCCCCAGACGCTGTGGCTGTCCTGTAGCATTGTGCCTGCTGTCACTCAGCGCTGTGTCAACGTTCAGTCCTGTGTTGCCGTGCCTGCTGCTCCCGGTGCTGTGTCCGCCGTCTGTCCTGTGGTGCCGTGCCTGCTATCCCCGGCGCTGCTTTTGCCGCCGGTGCCGCGGTGCCGTGCCTGCTGTCCCCGGAGCTGTGTCTGCCGACGGTGCGGTGGTGCCGTGTCATGTCTGCTGTTCCCCGAACCTGTGTCTGCGGTCAGTCCTGTGGTGCCGTGCCTGCTGTTCCCCAGAGCTGTGTCTACCGGCGGTGCCGTGGTGCCGTGTCATGCCTACTGTTTCCCGGCGCTGTGTCTGTGATCAGTCCTGTGGTGCCGTGCCTGCTGCTCCCTGGCGCTGTGTTTACGGCCATTCTTGTGGTGCCACGCCTGCTGTTCTTCGGCGCTGTGTCTGCCGCGGTGCTGCGGCGCCGTGCCGTGCCGCTCGCCACGGCACTCGCCGGTGATCAGTCCGGCCTTGACAGCCGCGACACCGGAGGGGCGGGCAGACACACTTGCTGCCGGGCCGGGCTGACGCGCCGGTACATCAGGCGCAGCTGTGCCGACCGCTCAGGGCCACGGCCACAGCCGCGCGCCACGGCGCACTGGCGCCCGCAGCGCTCGCACAGACAAGGGGCAGGGCAGACGCGACGCAGGTGCGAGCCCGTCGCCGGTGTCTTGGGCAGCCGCCTCTACGCAACAGGTAAAGGAAGCCCGAGGGTGGCAGGGGGCAACCAAGAAGCCTACAAATCAGTGGTGTTCAGTCCTGCAAATTGCGCGACGAGACTTGCTTCTCTCATGTTGCCCCGCTGCAGCTGGTGGTGACTGACCTGGTGTTGTGGGACGGTGAGACCCTTGCCAGTTTTAGGTTAAAAGAAAAGTGTACGTGTGTAATTCACAGTCAAAAATGTATGTGAACAAATATTTGGGGTTGCAAAGATCGCTTGCAATAGGACTGTTTCACACATCCTCTCTCTCTCTCTCTCTCTCTCTCTCTCCTCTCTCTCCTCTCTCATCTCTCTCTCTCATCTCTCTCCTCTCTCTCTCATCTCTCTCTTCTCTCTCTCTCTCTCTCTCTCTCTCTCTCTCTCTCTGTTCCTTTCTCTCTATCTATAGTTCTCTTTTTCTTTTTCCTGCTCTGTCCTTCGTTTCTCTATCTCGCTCTCCCCTTCTCTGCCCTGTTATGGTCTCCGTCTTGCGCGAACTCGTGTGTAGACCTGACATGTTCATCGTGTCCTGTCATTCCACGATAACTATCAAACTGGTGCTGCCAGTTTGTAATGAAAGTCATTTCTTAAGAATTTCATGGCAGTGCACATAAAAGACGCGCATATGCATAGCCTAGAGTTTGCATCACGTATAAGATTATTTCATGGCCACTGAGGCTCAGCGACTGTCGCAAATGGGCCTTAGCGACTGTCGCTTCTGAGGCCTCAACGACTGTTGCATCCGGGTCTCAGCGACTGTCGCTTCTGAGGCCTCAGCAACTGTTGCATCCGGGTCTCAGCGACTGTCGCTTCTGAGGTCTCAGCGACTGTTGCATCCGGGTCTCAGCGACTGTCGCTTCTGAGGTCTCAGCGACTGTTGCATCCGGGTCTCAGCGACTGTCGCTTCTGAGGTCTCAGCGACTGTTGCATCCGGGTCTCAGCGACTGTCGCTTCTGAGGTCCTTGTGGTAAACGTCGGCTGGGGCCGATATCGCTTCGTAATTGTCCGCTGCATGACACGGTAGCAAGTGATCCATATCCTCCTCCAAGCTCAGGGCAGGATCGGACAGGCATCGCCGCTGTCATACTTAAACCACAGGATAGATTACAGCCCTCTCGACCTTGCTGTTACCAATAGCAGCCCCACTGAGTTCCCTGCCACCGCCACCTGCGCCGGCGTCACAGAACTTCTCCACGCCATAGCAAGGTTCAAAGCCATTCCAAAGCTGCCTCCTGTAATGGCCCTGAAGTTAAGAAATGCAAAACAATTTTACATGGTCATGTTGTAATTTACTTAAAAATAGCACAACCGCAGTGATAGCATCGCGACTTTCTGCAGGACGCGAACACAACCTCGCAGCAAACATATCTTACTTGTCGTCAGCTTTCCAATTCCATTTAAGCTGTAAGGGGAGAGGTCAGATCACGCAGTCATGTTTTCGAGGGGACCATGCCATGCAGCCATGTCGCAGATGATGTATGTGCTGCGGCACGCACCAATGGCAGGCAGCGCCGAACCCTGCAAGGGCGTGTTCCCAGCCATTAGCGTTTTGACGAGAGTGAGGGCACAAATATGAGCTGACTCCGACACGATATTTTTCAGCTTTATGTTGCTCGCATACTGAATGTTCAGTTGGAATATACCTGCTGAACAGTCATGTCGGGGCTGTTTGAGCCCGGTATGAATTCCGGAGGCTCCAAAATGGCGCCGTCTAGGACAAAAGCTGGACGTTTGACAGTACGAACCGAGCAACACCAGTATTACATGCCGCACAATTATTGCATGGCATTTCTCGCCGCTGACATCACGATGGGAAACATGGTGTAATTCCAAAAATGCTCTCAGAAGAGCAGTATCAAAATATATATGTTTATTCATTTGCTTGAATTCATAAACATGGCGTCATATGGCCAATGCAGTCGGCGCGCTTCATAACCCAAGTCATCATCATATCATCATCAGCTTCACTTACAGTGGGCTCATACACACACACACACACATTGTATAAAAATGCATACATATATATATATATATATATATATAAACAAATGTTTGAGGTCGCAAAAGTTGCAATAAGACTGTTCCCCACACATTTTCTCCCTCCATCCCCCCCTCTCTCTCTCTCTCTCTCTTTCTCTCTATTGCAATATATGTATGGATATATTTATATACATATATGTATATATAAAGATGTTTACGTGCAAAATCGGTATATTTTGGGAAGACGTTTTTATTTACACATAGATCACGGAGAACGCCATTTTGAACTTTGAACAACTTCCGGCAGAGTTCTTTATCTTTAGAACGTTTTTCCATATGGTCTGCTAGGTTAAAGCGTAGCTCATCAGGAGACATGTGTGATCTTCTGATATATTCTTGGTTCAACGTTTCTGTTACATCATCTATTCATTCTCAGAAGTCTCACTAGTCGCAATCTGCTCATCTCATATCAGCAATTGAGAAACTAAAGATCAGAACATAAATCACGGGCATTCAAACATCAATGAACTTCTCAAGAACTAAACGTACCCGTCCGCTTCACAGACATGCAACTCTTGATGTTTATACGGATATGAAGAAGGAAGAAATTGAATATAACAATGCGCGCTTTTGACAGTTTAACTAAAAAGTAACCAAAAATGCATGGCGGCCACTGGGTGCATTGGGTGTACTGGTCATTTGGCACGCTAGGCGTAGAGCGCTAGGTTGAGGAGAGAAGAGCGATTTTATAACGCTCACATGTAAAGGTTGTCGTTAGCTTTGGAGCACCAGCGCTGAACGCGTCTTGCCAATAATGGCTCCAGATCTTAAAAGGCGCGTTCTTCACCTGACATACCTGTTAAGGCCAATGCATCCACGGGACATGAAGTGAATGAACTGAAAGGATATTCATGAGTAGAATGGAATAGATAAACCTGTCGGTTTGCGTGTGAATGGCAAAGCCGGTCGGCCCGGCTGCCTGCACCAGCCGGACCGATGCCGACACGGCATGGCTGGTTCAGACCGCAGGTACTAGAGACGGCCTCACTGAACGTTTTTTGTTTGCGTGAGCATGACTTACCTGTGCTGGAATGACAGCGACGTTTGCTTCTGTTGCAGTGTTGAAAATGATGCAGTGACTTCACCTCAGCCTTTTATCTCTCCTTTCTCTGCAACGTGCTTCGTCATCACCTTCAACTCCTTTTCCGCTTCGTCCAAGCTTTCGGCCCTCCGGCACGTGATCAATCAAGGCGCCATCTCTCCTTGACCGAGACAACTTCAGACCTCTCTTTCGGCTGACCGCGTGCAGCAAGCAGCCATGTTCGGAATGCTGAATCCCATGAGCGCCGTTACCAGTAAGTATTACATATATTTCTGTCTGCGTCAGTTTTGGGAGCACCGATAGTTGTTTACTCCATTTTAAGACGCATGCAACTGTCATGGGGATTAAGGTCGCAGTCTCACGCAGAACATGACGGGCAAACCCATGTTGCGAAACACGGCTAGTAGTAAATCTCAGATCCACGTCCTTGTCGTCGTATCAGGCCAAGTGAGATATTTCCGTCCTACGACGTGAATATACTAAGAGAGTTATGGGCATTGGACATTAAATCTTCTGATCTGTCGTTCTTTCTTGGTTCTGCCACACAAGTTTGCCATGCTGCACAGTTAGAGGACGCTACATGCGGCCACCGCATAGCTTATGCGCCAATGTGCAGTTATAAGACTGAGTGTACATATGTCACATTTTACAGTCCTTGAGCACTGCCGGCCTCCACAATACTCGCCAACAGCCAGTACAGAACAGTTGCTTGGGGCTGGTGTGGAGAAACGGCAGGAAGGTGTAATTGTTATACGTACATAATTCGTCGTTCATAATGGCTTTATCACGCACTCGGCCGCTGATGATCTGTGGCAGCGCCTGCCTTGCACCCTGGCGAGAGGGCTGCGCACCGCGAGGAATCAAACTGCGTACATCTGATTTGCCATATGTGCAGCTTATCCACTAGACTATCGGTACACCTGCCAGGGATGTAGTCTCTTATTCAGTTGGTGTGTGTTTGTGTGTGGCGGCGTGCTCTGCCCCGAACTTCGCAAAGAAAGTGGGTCAAATTCGTGGAAAACCTCATTTGGTGGCGTATTTCTGGGGTAGGTTTTCGCAAATTTTCTCTACCAAGCCCCAACTCATTTTGTGAAACTACGCTCCTCACCCCTACGTACCTGATTCGATATATTTACATGCAGTGCAACGATTCAGGGGTGTAGTTTTCTATTCAGGTGGGGAGAGGGGGGGGGGGGCTTCAGCCTTCCCTAAATGAGCTCCAGCCCCGCCCCCTCCCAACTTTGGGAGGCAGGCGGGCCAAATCTAGGGAGAAACCTGCTTCTTGGCGCATTTTGAGGATAAGTTGAGCCATTTTTCACCGTTCAGCCTCCCCCAATTCATTTTGTGAATCTACGCCACTGCAACGATGTCACCGCATTTCCGCAACTCTACTAATTTTCAACAGTGGCTAAGAGTACGGGAACCTCATAGTATGACATGGAAACCTGGCCGAATAATCATCGCCACAAACTACACCGTAGTTTAGATGCTTGCGTTACAATGCTGTCCCGTTGAGAGCCGTTAGTGCGATATTTATATGTGATCGCCTCAGTTACCAAACGTGTGTTTCACGCTCCATTAGTAAGTAAAGTGGACATCATGGGATGTTTTCATTAGCTTTGCATTCCATCGGAATGAGCATTGCTAAATTCCTGGGGTTCACCAGACCACTTACAGTTGTCAGTGGTCCCACAGTTTCTACAACAGCCGTCCCTGGGGCAGATACGTGCCTCTGCCGTCAGCTTGGCGAACCGCACTGGACGTCGTGACCGGCCACAGCTTATCCAATAGGGGAAGATCGGCTCTCGACATCAGGCGTGAGAGGCAATCTGCGTTAGATCCGCTTCCTTTCCGGAGATTAAATGGGTAAAACCAATTTCGCTGCCGCAGACCGACTGAAAGAGACTGTCAGGGAGAAGGATTTCGACTGTTACCATTTCCCACCGCAGCAACGATAATGATGGTGTGAATAATGTATATTGCCGTCTTTTCAGCTATTCGAGCAGTTTCAAGGCTCATGGTTGATTGACACCAAAGTGGAAAAGAACACGGTGATTTTGTTGGCGCTCGCCAGCTATCCACATAAGTTAGGGGCCATAAGTGGAGAGAGGATGCTGCAAACTGAGTGAGGTAAACAAATGCCGAAATCTTCAGTCTGCCCTTTTCAGCACTTGTGCCATAGACCGTAGGTTTGCTTCTTCTACTTGTCGATCGATATTCTAATAATGCTTCGCATGACGGCGTGCCATTTTTTATTAAAGATTTTTCAAAATAAAAAAAAACGGTGCAGTGAGGGTATATCTTAAGATGAAAAAACAGTTGTGAGGACATTTGATGTGGTTAGCAATAAGGACGCAGCATTTTAGAACTGACTGAAATAAACTCCGAACTGATTTAGGCATACCTGCTTGAACCATTTCCGAAAATTATACCTCTTGAGAGTGGATTTGCTTTTACAATTTCTTAGCTAAAAGAGGTGATATTTCCCTGAAAACATACCGCAGGGAGGCGATAAATCTTGTTATATTTTATTCCCTCAGACACCCTAAGGCAACCGTCGTTTAATTAGCTCTCAAGTACCGTTCGAAAATAGAGCTTCTTGGAGACTAAAGTCGTCAAAGTATGAAATCCGAAGTAGTTGGGAACAATCAAAGATGCTGTGAACAATTTCACACAAACTCTTCATAAAACTGAACACATCTCTCATTTACACTGTTGTAAACCGCGGGCATAGGTAAGTTCGATGATGGTTCATTGGACCACCATTCGGTTCGCGGTTTGGTCTGATTTGTCATCTGGTGCATTGTCTGGATCAAGGCCTGGTTCTTGTCTGATCCTCTTTTTATTCCCCGTCTGGTCTTCGTTTTGTTCTTCGTTCTAGTCCGACATCTGGTCCCCCGTCTGACTGTCCAGCTGGTAATCCAACTTAAACTCCGTTTCTTCCAACATCCGATTCCCGGCCTGGTCCTTCATCAGGTCTTATGCTCGGTCCGGTCCTCCGTCGGGTCTGGTCCTCGGTCCGTTCCTCCGTCATAGCTGGTCCGCGGTCCGTTTTTCCGTCAGGGCTGGTCCTCGGTCCTGTCCTTGGTCCGTTCCTCCATCGGATCTGGTCCTCGATCCGTTCCTCCGTCAGGGCTAGTCCTCGTTCCGTTCCTCCGTCAGGGCTGGTCCGCGGTCCGTTCCTCCGTCGGGGCTGGACCTCGGTCCTGTCCTCGGTCCAGTCTTCTATCGGGTGTGGTCCTCGGTGCGGTCCGCCGCCTGGTCCGCTGTCCAGACGCCGACGCCACGCCACGCCACGCTCCGTAGATCCGCCGACTGATAAAAGTCTCCCGCGGGACGCGGTCTGGCCATAACTTCTGCCTGGCGGACTCGTCGGCCGCGCGTTAGCCGGCCCCCACTCTCCCCAACGCGGCGGCCAGGGCTGGCCGGAGCCGAACACACCCTCCCCTCGTCAGTCAGACCGGGTTAGGTTGAAACCCTGTCTGCCTAAAAAAACAGTCAGGAACTACTAGACTAGGAAGGGAATAACAGACGGGCTAACAAAGCCGCTGTTCTGGGCTATGCCACATCCCGGAAGTCACACTACCGGGAAGCTGGCCATCTCGTGGGTGGGGATGTGGGCCGTGCGGGCGCCGGAGCGGGCCTGTCACCAGGGGGGTCGTTGGGCCGAGTCACCGCTGATGGCCTCAGCATTCTGATGGAGGTGCCTCCAGACGGCCGACCACTGCCAGGGCCCAGCACGAGCCGGCGAATATACGTACGAGAGGGGATGTCGCGCTCAGGGCCGGGCTGAGGGGAGAATGTTCCTGCAACTAAGAGAATGGCGACGGGTTGTGGTCAATTACTGGCTTTGGGCAGGGTGAGCACTTCACAATGCGTTAAGCTTACTTCAGCCTTTAAAGGCTTTACCTACAGGCGAGCGACGGCTTGGGCTTGATGTTATTTCTTCTAAAATTTAGTCATCCGGTGGTTCCGGAGTATATATCGCCAGATCACCAGCCATGCATTGCTCTGGGAACCATGGACCCATCGATGGTTTGTTGGGAAGTAACCTCGTAGTCGGCAGCTATAATGGCCGGTGCAGAGAGGTTCTCCAGACCCCACTGCCGTAGTGAATGACAAAGTCAAATTACAGTACTGCTCGAAATAGTTTGGCAGAATACCAACTTTGATGGCACGTTGGGATTAATTCCCTGCTCATTCTTCCCAAAAATATTGCTGAATGGCGTTCTCTGAAGGACTTAACACTGAGGCCACTGTGGCGTGATACCTCCGGAGTCCTGCCGCAGCGGCGCTAGGTTTGACCATCCCTCTACAGTGCATGCCGTTGTCAGACGGCGCACCCGGTGACCCAGCCCCCTACCCCCCCCCCCCCCCCCCCGCTCCCGGAAAGTCTGCAGTGTGATCTGCGAGCGCCGCTCGTCCACCGCGTCCCCAGGCGTCCCCAGGCGGCCCCAGGCGGCCACCGCCGGCCGCCGCCCCAGACCGCCGTCCGCGTGGCATCCCGGCGGACGGCCTATAGCCGACCCTTGCCCGTCAGAAGACGAGTTAAATCGCAAAGTTTTAATGGGCGCGAGGTAGTTTGAGCGTGACCGGCGAGTTTCGGGAGCGGAGCAGGATCTGTCCACATTTCAGGAATTATTTACTGATAAAGTGGGGCGGCGCCGAACTGCACTGAATGCATGGCTGAGGGTCGCCATTGTCAGCGTCAGTTGTGGCGTCACAGCCGCGGATGGTGCTCAGACGGCCAGACAGAGACAGACCAGACAGACAGACGGCCAGACAGACTTGACACCAAACAGCTGGGCGCATTTACATGGGGTGCGGTTATAAAGGGCCATGACCCGATTCTTGCTAGATGACTTTCCAACGGGCTATAATGTGATTGCCTAGAATGTAGGCACACAGTAAGAGATGCTTTTTCCAATCTCGCTGATCACTCCGAATCTAGCGGACGTTTTGCGAGGGTATCGCGATTGCCAACGAATCTGTGTAGCATGTTTTACGAATCACCAGTTCGAAATGAGCATTTCGTATTAATGGAGTCAAAAAGCAAAGCGAGTTGTTTTTAGCCAGCTGCCACTGATCGTCGGTGTCACATTAATGGTGCGGCACAAGCTCCTACCGCCGGAGTGCCACATTACTTCTACTCCCGATTCCTTTACGCGACACTACTGGTACAGTGCACAACTTATGTTTCAAAAACTCATAACCGTCATAATTTGCTAGGAATACTTTAGTGTAGCGCAAGTG